TTAAAGGGGTCATAGGATGCCCATTTTCCACAAGTTGATATGATTCTTTAGGGTCTTAATGAAAAGTCTGTCACATAGTTTGGTTAAAATTTCTCAATGGTAGTGTAAAAAACACCTTTTTTTACCCTGTCAAAAACAGCTCTTTTCAGAGTAAGCCGTTTTTGTAGCATTTTCCTTTAAATGTTAATGAGGTCTGCTGACCCCGCCCCTCTCTTCCGAGCTGCATTGTGAAACTTGCTAATTAGCACATTATTAGGAAAGGCGATTTGCAAAGATTCATTACAAAACATTATACTCACTTCTGTAGATGAGGCTGTATCATGAATGATTCGCGCGAACAGAGATGCATTTATGTAGATCGGGAGCGCATTCCCTTCAGAAACAAACGTAATCCACTGCGAGTTCAGCGGCTCAGATGTCAGGAGTAAATGACGACTGCTATGTTCATTATTACATCCAACAACAGAACACCTCAATCGCTTAGGAGTCATTCTTGTCTACGTCTGCTCCGGTGGTGAAACAATGGCGGACTGATGACAGCTCATCAGTCACACAGGTGTGTGACGTCACACAGACAGTCATCTGAGATCGGCTCGATTTGAGAAAGGGGAAAACATTTAACCAGATTTAAAAAAAAAACACTTGGACCAATGGTGGATTTTTATCATTATAGGGTGGTTGTGTACACACACTGCCAACACGCATTTAAGTTCAAACAACTTGTAAAAGTGCATGTAGCATCCTATGACCCCTTTAAGACAGGGTGGCCACGCCCACAGTGAGATCTCATTGGCTCAAAATTCTGCTCTACTTAGCTGTTAAAAATCTAAAAGATTTTGCTTGGCTGTAGCTTCGTGCAGTATTTCTCTTTCAGCAAGGGCAGAAAAACACAATAGGTTCCTTTACTCTCCTGCTGTCCAGTCTTGTGGTTATGTGTGTGACTGGCCTGTTCTTCATCCCTGTTATGGGCCTCACTGGGTTCCACACGGTTCTCGTAGCCAGAGGACGGACCACAAACGAACAGGTGAACCAAATTACACAGCACTTAAAATGTTAATCTGGTTTGTGTAACAACATGCGCACTTGTAGAGGCAGAATTGTGGTCACATGTTGCACACCCACTCAGAATCACCTTGATGTCTTTCCAACTTGATTGCCTTCTGTTGTTTGTGCACGACATCTGTTACAAAACCTGGTATTGTCATCGCACATCACGGTTCTGTCGGTCAAGGACGGTTGTTTTCCACTCTCTCGCTTCAGTTTGCAGTAAGTAGGATTCCTCTCTCTCTCTCTCTCTCTCTCTCTCTCTCTCTCTCTCTCTCTCAGGTGACAGGAAAGTTCCGAGGAGGAGTGAATCCATTCACTCGGGGTTGCTGTGGCAACGTGAAACACGTCTTATGCAGTCCGCTTGCTCCTAGGTAAAGAAAAAACTGGCTTCCACACACAGATATATTCATTTCTGTAATCAGTGAGAGTCTCAAATACACACACGTACCAGAAATGTGTGAAAGTGAGTCGTAACACCAGGCACGGTGTGTTTCCACGGCCCCTGACAGCTGGTTGATCTATATTTTGCTCATTTTTGAACAGACAGTTGCGTGTTTCGTTTCACTTTAAATGAATTTACATTAGATTCTGTTATTTTACATTTGCAAAACAGACAGGATTTAATGAACATTACGCTTTAGCAAATGTTGCAAAAGACCTATTAAGTACCAACCAAAATTGAAAGATTTTAGTCACCATGGAACGGCAATCGCAGCTGATGTCCATATAGTGACATACATTAAATAACCCAGCTGCTGTGATGTCTGTTAATCAGAAAAAAGAGGAAATCAATAACTTTTGTAGTTTTAAGGATTCATCTATATTTAATTTAGAATTTAGTGTTTGATAACTTTATTTTCTACTTGCTGAAGGGCACAGGGTTAGTGTGAAGGGTTTAGGGTTTATGTGAAGATTGTTTGAAGTTCACTTAAATTATAAGTTATTATTTTTTAAAGTCTAATAGATGTTAAAATTGATAGCTCTCAATTATATTGTAATGTTGAATGGCTATAGTCCATGGTTAAATATTAGGGCAAAAAAATAATAATTTCCTAGAGACACCAGTAGTGTTGTTTTGGTTTTGTACTTCAAGACAGCATGAAATTCATCCATGCGCACACACACACACATATATATATACACTCTTGCCATCTCCAGATCTGCTTTCATTTAGTTACGCAGTACTCATTTTTCACTATCCAATCAACCACCAATGGATAAAATCAAGTCACACATAAACTGATTTGCTGCCCAACAAAAATACTTATTATAAATGTTGAAAATAGTTGTGCTGCTTAATATTTTTGAGGAAATTGTGATATATTTTTTCCCCTAGGATTTTCGATGAATAGAAAGTTGTTCAAAAGAACATAATTTATTTGAAATAGATTTTTTTTTACATTATAAATGTCTTTTGTGTCTTTTGATAAATGGAATGCGTTCTTGCCAAATAAAAGTATTGATGCTGTCAATCGATTCCAGAAATTAATTCCCCCTGAAATTTATCACGCATAATCCCACCTAACATTAAAGTTTGTAATTATACTTTTATATTGCAATAATCTCACATTCAATCTTCAAATTAATGTAGAAACAACATAAAACCGTATATTTTTTAACATTTATTTAATGCTATCTTTTTTATGACTGAAGGCGATTATCACTGATACCAACATTATACGGTCAAATAGAAAATGACACCATGGCATATAAAAACATTTTATGCAGTGCTCTCGACAACAGTAATGAAGACAGTGTGGCAGTATACTATAAAATCTAAAATGCTTCAAGAAGAAAATATGCTTTGAAATATGTGTGAAGCCATTAACATTTAATGTAATACTTATAAAGAGTAGACAGAGGTAAAAGAAGAGGTTGTTTATCATAGTAGACAGTCTGGAGGGGTTTGAAAAGAATAGAGGTCCATAGGAAGGTAGATTGTGTCCTGTTTTTCTTGCCTGTTTTATGACACTCTGAGGAGGAAAAGCGTATAGTACTGAAGATTTGAAGAAACAATGGAGAGAGAAAGTGATTGCTGTATAAACACAGATCAGAGCCAAGGTTAATGTCTTGTTAAGCCATCTTCAGAAACAATAGAGGACAACCTTTGTGAGCCCAAAACATAACAAAAGGATGTTGCTATAAACCTTTTTCCACAAAACAAATGAAATCATTCCTTGAATCAGAAATTATAGGAATAGTTTACCAAAAAACGAAAATTTCAATCGATAATCATTCTAATATGTTGATTTGGTGCTCAGGAAACATCTCTTACTATTGTTAATGATGAAAACGACTGTGCTGCTTAATATCTTTGTGAAAAACATGACAACATATTTTTTTTCAGGATTCTTTGCTGAATAAAAAGTTCAAACTATCAGCATTTCGTTAAATAGCAGGTTTTTAGTAACAATATAAAATGTCTTTCACTTTTGATCAATTGAATGCATTCTTGCTGAATAAATGTATTAATTTCTTTAAAAAAATAAACAGACAAATAAATATAATAATAACAATACTCACCCCAAACTTTTAAATGGAATCAGAATCTTCAGAATTTCCCCTTTTATGTTCCACAGCAGAAAGTAAGTCATCATGAACCTGGGTATATGATAAACTTTTTTTCAACCATTTTTAAGCATTTGATAACCTACATGTGATTGTGGTATACACTAAGTCTGACCCATGAACTTACATGCTTTATCTAAAAATATTTAATACATGCATCTTGTTCACTGTTTCTGTCTACAGGTACATCGCTGATCCCAGGAAGAAAATTCCCATCACCATGAACCCACCATTCATCCGCCCTGACCTCTCTAATCGACACGTCAGTGTAAAAGTCAGTGATAATGGTATCCACAGTAACATCCTACGAAGCAAAGTGAGTGCGCAAAAGCTTTTAATTCTGTCTGCCCACAACCTGGAATTTCAATGGTGTATAATCATTTCTGTTATTGTAGTAAGTACCGCTACACCAGCAATTCAGAATCGCATCAGTGCAGGCTCATTATTTAGATTTCAATGAAAACTGAAATTATTCGAATAAATGGTGTCCTCATTTTCAAAGGAACCATTTTAATAATATGGCGCCTCTGCCTAAATCAAGCCTCCCAAAATAAATCGATTTTCTTATGCTTTATTCTAAGACCAGTCTGGATGGTGTGGATGATAAAAGTATAGATACACAACCACCTCTGCCGCCCAAAGCGGATCGCTACAACCAGCTCAAGAGTCAACTCACCTCCAGCGAAGGCAAGTAACACTAACAGCCAGTCATTGTTTACTGCAGGTTATTTCAAAGCAGTCAGCACCAAAATGTAACTAATTTATGTTTTTGTAATTATTTACTCTGTGTATTCAAACATGTATTTGTCTTGTGAGATTTCTTCTTCTTCTTATTATTATTATTATTAGCATGTTATCATAAAAAATGTGTTTATTCACCTAATTACTCAAAGCCTGTGTATTCAGTGGGCCCTGTAGCAGGTTGTTGAATCTTTTTCTTAACTGCACTTCTACTGCCATCTGGTGTTGGGTCATATTGCAGCACTGTTGAGTCATTCATTTAATTTGTGCCACATTTTCTAGAGAGTTCCCTGTCAGGCAAACCCACTAATCCATCCACCCCAGCCGTAACAGCCAGTCATTGTTTACTGCAGGTTATTTCAAAGCAGTCAGCACCGAAATGTAACTAATTTATGTTTTTGTAATTATTTACTCTGTGTATTCAAACATGTATTTGTCTTGTGAGATTTCTTCTTCTTCTTATTATTATTAGCATGTTATCATAAAAAATGTGTTTATTCACCTAATTACTCAAAGCCTGTGTATTCAGTGGACCCTGTAGCAGGTTGTTGAATCTTTTTCTTAACTGCACTTCTACTGCCATCTGGTGTTGGATCATATTGCAGCACTGTTGAGTCATTCATTTAATTTGTGCCACATTTTCTAGAGAGTTCCCTGTCAGGCAAACCCACTAATCCATCCACCCCAGCCATGTACAAATACCGACCTTCCTTCAGCACCATGCCTAAAGTGCACTATCACGCAACCGGAGAGAAGGTGGGAACAACAGACTAAAACAATGTTTTCTGGAATAATATATATTATAATATACACTACTGTTCAAAAGTTTGGAGTTTGTAAGATTTGTTTTTTTTAAAGAAGTATTTATCTGATAAAAAATACAGTAAAAACAGCAATATTGTGAAACATTATTAGCAGTTAAAATAACAACTATTATATATTTTACAATGAAATTTATTTCTGTGATGCAATTTTCAGCAGACATTACTCATTACAGTCTTTAGTGTCACATGATCCTTCAGAAATCATTCGAATATGCTGATTTGGTCCTCAAGAAACTTATTTTTTTATTTTATTACATTTTTTTGTGGAAAATAGTTCTAATATTTTTGTTGAAAACATTCATATTTTTCTTTTCAGGATTTTTTGATGAATAAAAAAGTTCAAAAGAACAGCATTTATTTGAAATAGAAATCTTTTGTAACAATGTCTTGATTGTCATGCATTTAATCAATTTAATGCATCCTTTCTGAATAAAAGTTTAAATAATTAATTTCTTAAAAAGTTACTCACACCAGACTTTTGAAAAAAATGTAATATAATATAATTAATATAATATAATAATATTTTTAAATGCTGATTGATTATTTAAAAAAAAAAATTCTCTCTATAATATTGCATGTTTGCAAATTGCATGTGTTTAATCAATTTAATGCATCCTTTCTGAATAAAAGTTTAAAGAATTAATTTCTTAAAACGTTACTCACATCAGACTTTTGAACAAATATATAATATAATATAATATTTTTGAAATCTGATTGATTATTTAAAAATGTGTTGTTGTTTTTTTCTCTCTAATATTGTCCTTTGTTTTCAGATTGTAATGTCTGAGAACGGTAAGCCCTCTGCAGTTTTGGAGGAGAGAGGTCACGATTACCGCTCGGAGCCGAATCTGGATATGCCGGACTTCCGCAGCACTCCTCTCCACCGAACTTACCAGTCCTCACCTTTCCAGCTGGACTCATTCAGCACCACTTCTCGCTCATTCAGTCTCAAACAGGGAGTGAACAGGGCTGACCAGATGCCACTGGGTGGCAGCAAACCACAAACGGTCACTTCCACCCCTCACAATGGAGTCTTCTCCCCTGGGACATTATCTGGCCGCAATGGCAGCCTATCCTATGATAGCTTGCTAACCCCCAGCATTACGCCATCTGTGGGCGAGTGCGCTGCCCATCCGGGAGTGCCCTCTATGGGTTTTCATTCACCTTACTTGCCCACTAAAATGTGTCATGTACGAGGGCCCGAGCTTCAATGGCACGCCGGCCCGCCATCCTATAGTCCTGTTCACGTAGGAGCGATGTACGGGCGGCAATCGCCACTCTCAAGAGACCGAGATCCCTCGCCTGTCCGCTACGACAACCTCTCCAAAACCATCATGGCCTCCATTCAGGAAAGGAAGGAGCTTGAGGAGAGGGAGAAACTCATGCATCGGCACGCTCAAGCACTGGTGGCCTATGCCAACGATTCTGGTGTGTTTGACACCTGCAGTGGAGCCACCTATGGACTCCCACCAGGGACGTGCTACCCCGACGGCCCTAGAGGCCCCGGATCCCGAGAGCCCACCCCTCCTGTGTGCGGCTCTCGGGATAACTTGATGGGAGTCGGGGTAGTGGGATATGCTCCCCGAACACCTGTTCTGCGTTCCTCTGCATCTTCACTCACCAGAGTGCCGAGGATTTCCACTACATCCCTCCACACTGATGGAGGCGGTGTGAGCAGGACAGCCGAACACCAATACCGCTCTCCGGTGCACCAAACGAATCACTCCCCAACATCTGTGCCCCGTTCCCCATCATATGCGCATCAGAGGGTCGCCTTCATTAGCGCTCTGGAGAGGGCAGACTCACCACATCTGGGTACAAGGTATGACACGTAGCATCTACTTTTAACCAACCAGAAAAGAGGGTGAGGACGTGATGTATAGACTAAACAGTCTTGATATGTGCGCTCTGATCCGGCGGGGTCAAGAGACTTCAGAAAAGTGATTTCAGTTGTGTTATGTTTATTTGTTTCTTTTTTGAGTACTGCTTTTTTGTACTTACATTTTTGTCATTATTGTTATTTAGAATGCATAAGTTTTTGTTTTTTTTGCCTTTCTGCAGAGATGAAAACAAAAATGTGGTTATATATATTCAGTTTCAATTTCTGCATGCCTGTTCATCCATATTCATGAACTTATTTATGACACATTTTGCATGGCATCTACTTCTGGCATACTGTACATTTTATTGCATCATGGTAATTTCGTAAATGGCATCAGAAATCAATGAAATATACAATAATCATGATTTGATATCCATTTATGTCTTTTTGTTCTGTTTGTGTTATTTTTTATGCTTAAAAATGCTTTTTAATCACTATCATTTTACATACTGTATTTTTCTTTGCTCTTTTCTTTGACTTGATCATTTTACAACATCAGACTGCATGATTGTTTCCTCTTTAAAATTATGATTTTATTACAGGGCTCAACAGAAATGATTTTTTAAATAGATTTTTATAGATATCCATCAAAAAAGAATGATCAATTTATATTTATAACACACACACACACACACACACACATATATATATATATATATATATATATATATATACAAACAATCTTTAGATTTTTTTATTTTTAATAGGCAAAGGAAGCATAACGATAACAAAAAGCAATAAATAAGAAAGCATAACATAACAAAAAGCAAATACAAATATTTAAAAAAGAAAAGGAATATCATAAATTATTTCACAAATGTTTGCGGGACAAATGGCTGTTTTGTCAACTGGCCCTAAACTGACTCCTTATTTTTTGAGTCCTGTATTATAATCTCAATTATATAATCCCTTCCACCATTCTCTCCACCATACTGTCCTCTTCTTCATGAACTCATCTTCATTTGTAACATTTCAGTCCATTTAGTACATGTTTGGATCTCTACATTTCAAAAGAAGGGCAGAAAAGGAGAACAGTACACAATACAGTTGGAAAAGAACCACCTCAAATATGTCTTCCTGTTTTTTTGATATTTTCTCCACATAGAGAGGACCTCGGTCAAGGTAAAATCAACGGGCAACTAAAGAGCCAAGCACGTGACTGCCATCTTGGGACTCCTTCTGGAACTCCCAGCAGACACACCAATGTCAAAAAGGTCACAGGAGTGGGTGGAACTACATATGAGATTTCCGTTTGACGGACAGCTTGAAGAGCCACTGCCTGTGAGGAAAAGCACTGCCATGGCAACACCACCTCCTCTTGTGCTCAAGACGATTAAACTTCTCTTTCTTTTCACATTATTTTTTTTTAAATAATAGTCAAACCGATTGATCACAAGACACACATTATCTGGTGCAGTTCTGTTGACCCAGTGTAAAATATAACAGGAGTGCTTCGTCACAGAAGCGTTGTATGTTTTTAAAGTGTCAGCCATCAGGATATAAATCCCACACCACAGAAAATTCTGGTTTAATGGCATCAAATGAAAATTTCAAATATATATACAGTAAGGGCTGAAAATGTACAGTGTCAGTTCATTTGTTTGTATATAAAAGCTGAAAGGTCGCATATTGAATGCAAATGTGCTCAGTATGCTGATCTTCCACACACTTGAAAGTGAGCGTATATGTACATGCCAGTAACTCCATTACTACTATGTTTTTGTCATTATGCTGATCTAATAATCAGGGTTTCATCTCAAATGCATTTCTCTGTTAAGCTATCAGGTTCCAAAACAAACCATAATAGCACTTGTGTACTTTAAAAACCAACGCAGAAGTTTTATTTTTCAAATATGGTGGTCATTTACACTTTTTGTAATGTAAAACTATAAACTGCCATAGAAATAAACATACATGTGTATATATATAAAATGTAAAAAAAAAGGGAGCAAAAATGTTGGATTCTGGCCGTTATCACCAGTCTGTTAAAACTTTTTTTCTTTATAAAAAGTATTTTATAGTGGAAGAAATAGAAATAAACAGACCACTGTGTATTAGCAATACTGGCCACATGTTAAAGCCATATTTTACCATGTTTTACAGTCATGATCTTTGCAAACTCCCAAGTTGTTTTATTGCTTTACCATTTCTGTTTATTTGTAATAGATTAAAAAACATTATGGTAATTCATGGCTGCATCCCAAACATCCAAAATATTTTCATTTATTTTGTTTTAATAACGTCTTTTTTAAATATAAGTTTTGGTATATTTCACATTTTATACAGATATTTAAATGGGTCGGTGTTTGGATTTTTTTGAGTTGTTATTTTTCGTTTTCTGTTTCTTTTTTGCATTTTTTATAATTGATTTGTACAAATTAATTAGTGTGAATTGCCATTTTGATTAGTTGAAAGTAGTATTCTCTGTTAACATTTTTTTTTCTCAGTGAATGAACGTTGAAAGATTAAGATGTTATTGTAGAACATTTTAGGAAACTTTGTTCAAGAAAGTTGCTTGTTTTTTTGAATGCTGGATCCATTTGAAAGACATATGACACATGGTTTTTATAAACTGCTGTTCAAGTTTTTTTTTTTACTGTATTTTTGATCAAATAAGCGAAGGCTTCGTGAGGATAAGAGACTTCTTTCAAAACCATTAAAAAATCTTACCAGCCACAGACTTTTGAACAGTAGTGTATATAAAAGTACATTTCTTCATATGTACTTTTCATATTATTCAATTTGTTTAAGGAAGTTTAAAGCCTCACCTTCCCTTCTCACATTCAAAAGTAGTTGCACGTAGTCTTTTCTGATTTTACAACAAGGGCAAATAAATATTGCTTGGTAACTATTACATTTGAATTGGGAAAAATTGAAAAACGTATTTTTTGTTTTTGGAGAGAGAGTATGAAAGAGATACACATCTTTGAAATTGTCACTGATATAGTGCAAGACATGCTGATTAAAAAAAAATTATAAAGTGACAGGCAAATATGTAGCCTAACTAACTGAAAAGCCGAAAAGAAATCTGTTTTTAGATGTAATCGTTTTTTTCTCAAGAAATTAAATAGACCACACAGGTGAAAGTGGCAAATCCTGTTAACAGAAGCACTTCACACTGTGGCCTGTTTCATGATTAAAGACCTAATCATTTTACAAGGATTGATTTATGATTTATGCTGTCAGCATCTTTGACAGGGGGATTTTACAGATGTCTTGCTGCCTGGAAAAGCACGGCACGTGGAGTTCTCTGCTGCTCATCAGATGACTTTACAAGGAATTCATATTGATTTCCTCACAGATCTGCCTTAGGGGTCTAACAGACCACAGACACTCAAGCACTGACAGAGTACAAACATGATTTTGGTGCATGTAAAAAGGGTCATCTATTACAATGTTTTCAATTCTTAAAATCATTTTAATGTTTTTTTTCTACAGCTTAAATGTAAAAAATGTCTAGATGGAGTAACTGTAGAGCTAAATTGTTGTTGAAAGTCTTGCTATAAGTATCTGTTGGTGCAAGCAGATTAGATCACTCTTGGTAGCTACTAATCAATTTTACTTCAAAATATTATTAATATTTGAGTCAGTGTTATGTGATCAACATGCCGGAAGCCATTTTGTTGTCATGTGACAAGAAACAAATTAGATGATAGACCCCTTTAGACCCTCATGACTTTGTGTCAAGGTCATCTATCTATCCATCTGTCCATCTGTCTGTCCATCTATCTATCCATCCATCTATCTATATGTCCATCTATCTATCTATCTATCTATCCATCTATCCGTCCGTCCATCCATCCATCTATCCGTCCATCTATCCGTCCATCTATCCGTCCATCTATCCGTCCATCCATCCGTCCATCCGTCCGTCCATCCATCCGTCCATCCATCCGTCCATCCATCCGTCTATCCATCCGTCCATCTATCCGTCCATCTATCTATCTATCTATCTATCTATCTATCTATCTATCTATCTATCTATCTATCTGTCCATCCGTCCATCCATCCATCTATCTATCTATCTATCCGTCCATCTATCCGTCCATCTGTCCGTCCATCCGTCCGTCCATCCGTCCGTCTGTCCGTCCGTCCGTCCGTCCGTCCATCCGTCCGTCCATCCGTCCAACTATCTATCTATCTATCTATCTATCTATCTATCTATCTATCTATCTATCTCTCATATTTAAGTCAAATGGGGTAATCCTAGAAAATCTCTTGATATTTGTAGCTCAGAAGATCATGATATTTGTTAAAATGTTGTATATATGAATATATAATATAAACATGTATATTCATTTTTGCTTTGATATTTTTTTGCAGATAATGATTAGGTGCTTGTGTCTTCAAGGTGCAAGGAAAGTATTTTAGTACTTTTTGCTGGCTGCTTACGCCATGTTAAGTCATTAGATCAAAATGTTTATAGAAATAGAAAATGATTTTTTTTTTCTAAAATGTCTGACACTTTACTGAGCAAACTTTGTCATTTTGGGAACCCATGCCTCTGAAACAGAAAGAAATCTCCACATACATTTCACATTCAGTGTCACAGCACTTTCTCAGACCTGCATCTATGAACAGCCATAGATCATGACAGGACCTTTGATATTGTTTTATTCATATTCCCTTCACCTCAGCTCCTTTGCATACTCTATCAGCTCTCATTACAGAGGGTGTACACTTTTTATGTAGCTTCTCACATGCTAGGAAATGGAGAGTTTGGGAAATATGTTGTTAAGGAAAAGCTTAGTGTGTTTTTTTGAGGTGATTACCAGATTCCTGTGGAAAACATGCTCCACTCATGCAATTAAACACATTGCTCTGTGGTCATTTCCACATGCTGTCTTTCACCAATACTTATTCCCTTCCCATGAATGTGATTTATTGATTATTCGAGAGAAAAGTGATATTCCATACTGAGATTAATAGAGATTTTGATCTTACATTTTAAAGGTGCACAGAGTAATTTTCCTTCCATTTAAATTACTACTACTAATAATACTTGTACAGCTATTTTGTTTGTGTCTGTATCATTTTGACTGTGCCACATAAGGTCAAGGGCTATTTCTTAGGTGACGACCTGTCATACTCCGTCATAACTCTCTTCCTCTGTGAATTCTGAGAATCCTGAGCCGCAAACAAAGGCTTTATTGCATTGTTGATGTGCATAGCTTTAGTTACTGAGTGTGTGCTCCTCAACGGCTCTGCAATTATCTGGCTCCTCTAAATGCTCCCTTTGTCTTCTTGAATTAAGTTGATTTTCAGAACTGTGCAAATCAAGTTTGGAATTTGCTGCATGGCCCTCACATGCAGATGAAGATTATATTTAAAAAAAAACTTAATCATGAGTTATATCATCTAAGATATATAGGTTAAAATACTTGTCATGGATTTGACCTAAGCAATGACAGAGTTTTCGTGCAGGTCTTTCTCTAGTAGTCATCAAAATTTTGGACAAAGAATTGCCCTCATTCTTGAGTTAGTGTGGTTAGCACTGCGTGGGTCAGAAAATACCTGCATGTGTGCATGCATTTGTGTTCACATCTATGCAAAGCACTTGTAGCCCTGAGAGTGATTTCTCTCAATTATTCAACCTCACCCCACCAGTAATGCTATATCACACCCACACATTTCTGACATTGTCACCCAGCCCCCTGAGAATGAAGAAAGCCTCTCGTAACGGCTTTAATGGGAGCAAACCACCAATGTGCATTTCCTGGCCAGCAGACCACATTTTGTGTGAATTTGGATTTTGTAGAGGGTAACCACAAGAAATACAGTAGAATTACTCCAGTGGCAGCTATGGTCTAGTTGTGAACAAGTATTAGGAACATTTTCAGGGTTGCTCATAAGAAACCTTCTGCATCAATATGCAGATGCAAAAGGCATGATAATTTTATCGTCGTGATATAAATTATATATTGGGTAATAACTTTGCCCCTATTACATACAGTGGTGTGAAAAAGTGTTGGCCCCCTTCCTGATTTCTTATTTTTTTGCATGTTTGTCACACTTTAATGTTTCAGATCATCAAACAAATTTAAATATTATACAAAGATAATGCAAGTAAATACAAAATGCAGTTTTTAAATGATGATTTCATTTATTAAGGGATAAAAGCTGTCCAAACCTACGTGGCCCTACGTGAAAAATGGTTAAATGTTTAACCCATCCTTCTGGGTAGTAACCCAACCGCTGGGTCAAAACAACCCAATTGACAGACTGCAACGGTTTGAGTTAAAAATCTTCGTTTGTGCTCTACTGAAGAAACAAAGTTACCTACATCCTGGATGCCCTGGGGGTAAGCAGATAAACATCAAATTTTTATTTTTGGGTGAACTATCCCTTTAACTAGCTAACAATAAGGAGATGAAGGCCAAGGGAACTCACCTGTGTGCACAAACATGTGTTTCACGAAGTTTTGTTTGGCAGTGAAGGTCTTTGAACAAAGAGTGCATGCGTAGGGCTTCTTCTCCCCATGCTGTCCCACGGCAGCATTACCTTGCTGTTGACTTCCAGCCGGTGGCACGGTCAGTCCGCTGGGGAACGGAGAGGGCACTGCCACAAATTGGGGCTGCTGACTCCCAATGGACTGGGGCAGACTGAAGAGGAAAGGCTTGTTGTCGCTGGCTGACTGGGTTGCAAAGAGTGTAGGCAAGTAAGTGT